CCCCAGGGCTGGAATTGTAGGCGTGTGCAACAATGCTCGGCTCTTTAAAGTACAATTTTAAAATTACGATTTTCCTTGTCTCTTTTCTATCTTTATCTCATCTATTGTACTTCAAAATTACATAAAAATGAAGAGCAGAGGTAAAAGCCGGGCTGGGGTTGCAGCTCAGTGGTAAAGCACTTGGCCAGTGCATCTGAGAGGCCCTGGGTCCAGAGCCCAGAGCTGCCACTCAGAGGAGTGTGCAAAGCACTGTGGGTAACGGTGCATGGCGGCCAGGCTTGACTTGGCTGTGGAGGTGGCTGTAGGCCAGACTGACTTCAAGTCAACAGCATTCAGTAGACACATGCGATAGGCACTTTGAGAGCCCCCTGAGCTCACGTTCCTTAACTGTGTGAGAATGTTTCTTGTGTCCATGGACTGAAGCAGTGGTCCTCGTATCCAGGGTCTTCTGTGGGCCACGGCAGAATTGGGAGGAGGTGGGCAAATCCCTATAATCTCAGCACTCAAGAGGCTGAGACAAGAGAGGATCACCAAAAGTTGTGAGACTGTTAAAAAAAAAAAAAAAAACAACTAATTGGGTTGGGATTTGAAAAGCTATCTATTCCTTTTTTTAATTTTTTTTATTTTTTGGTCTTTTTGAGACAGGATCTTACTTTGAAGTTCAGGCTGGACTTGAGCTTACTTTGTAGACCAGGCTGGTCTCAAACTCACAATGATCCTCCTGCCTCAGCCTCCTGAGTGCTGGGACTACAGGCATGTGCCACCATGGCCAGCTAAAGCTGTCTATTCCTGTACTTTATTCCTGAATAATTCACTAGACCTAGGATAGGTCCTATAAATTAGTATTTTAATTTTTTTATTTTTAATTAATTATTTAGTTAGTTAGTTTTTTGAGACGGGGTCTCACTATGTAGTTCAGGCTGGCCTTGAACTTACTAGGTAGCCCAGGCTGGCTTCGAACTCACTGTGATCCTCCTGCCTCAACCTCCCTAGTGCTGGAATTATCACACACACACCACAACACCTGGCTTTTGTTTGATTTTTCCTTTTTTTTATCATATTTTAGTAGAGTTAGAAACTCACTGTTGTAGATTTCTTTTAAAAAATGTTTATTTCACACACCATAGTCGTACATATTTATTTATTTATTTATTTTTTGTCTTTTTGAGGTAGGGTCTCACTATGCAGTTCAGGCTGGCCTCAAACTTGCAATGATCCTCCTGCCTCAGCCTCCCAAGTGCTGGGATTACAGGCGTGCACCGCCATGCCCAGCTAATCGTACATGTTTATGACACATGGTTTGATCCTTGTACACACCGGGGGATGATCAACTCAGGATGAACGGTGCGTTCATCACCTTAAACATTTATCATTTCTTTGTGGTAAGATTGTTCAAAATCTCACCCAGCTATTGTGAAATACACAATGTATTATGACTTACAGGGTCCATTGTTTAAAGAAATTAATACGTGTTATATACCTCTTTAGTTTCAAAAGAAGAGATTTATTACAGTTATTGTCCTTCTGTATTTCTGAAACAGCTGATCCCTTAGGAGGCAAATAGCACAGGTAACATTTTTCCTGGTTAGCACCGAGATGCTCTCCATGGCTCAGGCAGGGTTTCCTGGGATTTTTTCGTACTAGGGATTGAACCCAGGGCTTTCATAATGAGCTATACCCCAGCCTCCCTCCACCCTTTTTTTTTTTGTCTTTTTGAGACAAGAGTTACACTATGCATTTCAGGCTGGCCTTGAACTCACTTTGTAGTCCAGGCTGGCCTCAAACTCACAGCAGTCCTCCTGTCTCAGCCTTCCAGAATGCTGGGATTGTAGGCATGGGCCACCACACCTGAACCAGGGTTTCATTTTTATTCCAGGGCAGGCTCTGCTCTAGAGGTGGCAGGACCTGTTAGCTTTCACCAGTTTGGTAAGAAAATCACATTCCCTGGCTGGGATCTTCAGCTGCCCAGTGAGCTTTGCCTCATCTTTCAGGCCAGGGGACCAGGTGGCCCTGGCCAGCCATCCCGTTACTTCTCTTTGCCTATGAGATAAGCTTGTATTTCCCGATGAAAGGGCACCCCTACTCCCCCTGAATATTTCCTGTCTCTCCCAGGTCAGTGTCTGAACTTCACTGATTACACAACCATGCGCGTGGGGATGAGGAGGTCAGGCGTGGAGGACAGAAGTTCTGTTTCAAATCAGATCAAAACCTGCTCCTCCTCACCTGGTTGTTAATCAGAATCTCTGCTGTGAAGCCACGGAACCAAGAAAAGCCTAGTGGAGAGTTCTTGGGGACACCAGTGCTTAGCAAGGGGGCAGGAACAAAAGTCTCAACTGAGGGAGCAAAGGGCCCTTGTCCGTGGCAGGGGGGAATGTAAACTGGTACGACCACTGTGGACATCAGTGTGGGGACTCCTCAGTGACCTAGAACCATAGTGTCCACTGGACCCAGCTACACTCAGTGGAGCTCGGCAAGGTGGTACACACCTATTTTCCCAGCACTTGGGAAGCTGAGACAGGAGGATCGCTTCAAGTTCAAAGCCAGCCTGAAGTACACAGTGAGAACCTGTAGTATATAATATATTATATGTTCTCAATGGAGTACTATTCTGCTATAAAGAAGAGTAAGTTTGGGTCCTTTGTAGGAAAACTGAAACATCTTGTGGTCATAATGTTAAGTGAAATAAATCAGACACGCAGGCTTCGATACTGCATGGCTTCTCATGAACGAGAGATCCAAAGTATAAATAAATCAAAAAGCAAAATAACAGAGCGATGACAGGAAACAGGGAGGCAGAGTCTGTGGCGAAGGGGCAAAGGGTGAGGATGGCATGTGACGTGCACCGCCGCCCGCCGTTCCTCTGAATGGCACGCAGGCATTGATAAATAAGTAATGAGGCGTCTGAAAAGAAGAAATGCCAAGCAGAAGGGATGGGGAAGGTGCTGTGACCATCAGCCGAGTCACCCCAGTGATCACAGCGCTCCTTTGTTTTTCTTTTCTTTCTGTGCTGAAAAGTTTGCAGTTTCGATGCTGCTGAGCAACAAGAAGCGCGAGACCTCTCACACCGCGTGGACAGTGGAGTAAACTTGGGACAGCTTCAGCTCCACGCAAACTCGGTCGTCCCACAGACATGGGTCCTGCTCCTCTGCCTTCCCGTGTGCCCATCCTTTGTTGGGGTCACGTGTGGCTCTGGGAGCAACACAGCCAGCCCAGCCCGGCAAGGAGGCCACGCGGTGCGGCCCTGGGGTGCTGTCCTTGGTGGTGGGGCAGGGGGCGCCAACGCTTCCACACTGGGGGCGGATTCTACAGCACGCTGCTGGGAGTGAAAGCCCTGGCCAACTGGACGATGAGACGTGCACTCCCCACCCAGGCACTTACGGTGTGGCCACAGAGTACGTTTCTCTGCAAGGACCAAAGTATTACCTCAAAGGACACTCAAGTCCCTCCTCCCCAGAAACCAAAGCTGCAAGTCCATTTCCAAGCATGGCCTGGAGACCACTCCTGTGGGGAAAAGTAGGACATGAGGTTATTTTTGGCTTTGGGGCAGTTGCTTTTTGGGGGGGATTGAGACAAGGTCTCACTATGCAGGCTGGGCTGGCCTTGAACTTGAAGTGATCCTCCTGCCTCGGCCTCCTGAGTGCTAGAACTACAGGCACGAGCCACCACAAGAACTTGTGGTTAGCTTGGAATGCCTTAGGCAGTGTGTGTGCACATGGATGGTAGGAAGTGGTGTGTATGTCACCACGGCACCATCAGATTTCCATTTTTGGAGAAATTCAATCCAATCACACATACACAAAATCAAGCAAACTGGGGATTAATCTTCCAGGTCAAACTGCCAGCTACCACCCTCCAGTTTGAGAGGAACACAATTGTCTTTGTCCAAAACATGTCTTCCCTGGGCCCGCAGGACAGAAGTCATGTTCCCAGTAGCAACTCTGAAGTACTGGAAATTCTCTGTAAGTAAGAGAAATAGAAGGCACCTCACTGCTTCAAACCCCTTTCCTCACCCATAGGAGTGGCATTTTGGTACAGTCCATCGGGACTGAAGCCAAGGCCTTTGCACTGAGCTACATACCAGCCCTTTCTATTTTTTATTTTGAGATCGAGTCTTACTAGATCACTAACTGCCCAGGCAGGGCTTGAATTTGGAATCCTCCTGCCTCAGTCTCCCAGCGTGTTGGGATTACAGGCATGCGCCATCACACCCGGCTATATTTTTTAAACCTTCACTATTTGCTGGCCATTCCGTCATCCTATTTTGTGTTGCTTCCTCAAGGAAAGACCCTGGCATCAGGCTGCATGGGCTGAACCCTGGCTCTGATGCTTGCTCTAAATCACTCGGTCACGAGCCGCATAGTCACGCTCTGTCCATGATGGCCCAGGTATGTGACGGCAGGCCTGTGGGATTATCATGGCGCTGGAAAATCTACTGCTCAGTGACACCGTGGCACCCAAAAGTCATAGCACAAAGCACGCTTCCTGTTTGGGTGACCCGGGGCACATCAAAGTGTAGTGCCTCCAGGGATGTTAGTGTGTGATACTGGATAACAAATGACCAGGATACTGGCTTGTCCATCTGCTCTACCACACTTTTTAGTGTTATTTTACCCTGTGTCCCCATTCATTAAAAAATAGTTGTCTGCAAAGGAATGTGCAGCTCAGTGGCACAGCCCCTGCCTGGCAAGTACAAGGTCCTGAGTTCAATTCCGGGTACCAAAAAACAAAAACAAACACAAACAAAACAAAACAGGAATGTGCCAACTCTGCTGGCAGTGCCATCCACCTGATGAAGGCTGAGTACCCCCTGGGCATCCCCGTGCACATGAGGTATTCACCTGTGGGGGACTGGCTGACCCCGATTTAAGATCCCTGCTACAGACCTGGGAGAACCAGAAAAAGAAAGTTCCAGAACAGAGCTTCCTTCCAGAATTCTTTAAGGCTCGTCTCCATGGTGACCATTTCAAATGCCAAGTCCCTCTTGACTATGTCCAGAGTCTCCATGGAGCAAGTGACCCCCCGCCCCCCGCCAGGTCTGCGTGTCCATCCGTGTGTCCCGTTGTCAAATCGCCCGTGATGCACTTTGAAGGGCTTTGATCAGCACCTGGCACTGCCACCAAGGACAAGCTGCTACAGGCTGTCCTATTCCCTCAGAAAGCACCAAGTGCCCCAGCACCCAGAGCAAAACCTGGCCAAGGTAGGGCTTCACATGACACATCTATGGACACAGAGGTGGCTTGATTATTTAATCTGGGCACCAACTCTAATAAAAATGCAACCTGGGGCTGGGGATTTAGCTCAGCGGCACAGTTCCTGCCTGGCAAGCACAAGGTCGTGGCTTCGATTCCCGGTACTGAAAGAAAAACAAAACAAAAAAAATGCAACCTGTTACTACAAGTGGCACTTTTAAGCAGGAAGACGAATTTGTGGGGACCAAGCCTAAGTACCCTGAACTACCAAAGTGATGGTGTTAGGAGCAGGGCCTGCTGGGAGGGTTAGGTCATGAGCAGGATTAATGCCCTTGTGCAAGAAACGGTAGCTTTCCACTCCCACCTCGGACAACACAGCCAGAGGTGCCATCCCGGAAACAGGAAGCCAGTCCTCCCCAGTGTCAGCTCCGCTGTGAGCTGAGCGCCTGCCTAGTACGCCAACATCCAGTCTTTGCTGTCCCAAGTAAATCATCTCGAATCTTTTCCTTTCCCATAAGTCAGTGCTTCCTAACATTTGAGTCATGAATCCCTTTAGAAATCTGGTCAAACCGGGTTTGGAGGTCCATGCCCATAATCCTAGATCTGTGGGAGGCTAAGGCAGGAGGATTCCAAGTTTGAGTTCAACCTAGGCAATTTAGAGAGACTGTATAGCAAAATAAATTACTAAAAAGGGCCTGGGATATAACTTAGTGTGAAAACCTTGGGTTCAATCCCTAGTACCCCCCACCCCCCAAAAAAGAAAGGATGAAAGCCAGGCGTGGTGGTGCATGCCTATAGTCCCAGCACTCGGGAGGCTGAGGCAGGAGGATTGCTGTGAGTTCGAGGCCAGCCTGGGCTACAAAGTGAGCTCAAGACCAGCACGAACTGCATAGGGAAACCCTGTCTCAAAAAGAGAAAAAAACAAAATTAGAAAGGATGAAGACTGTCTGCTGGAACAGAGCACAATCACTTACTATGTAGTTCAGGGTAGCCTTGAACTCATAGTACATAGCCAGGCTGGCCTGGAAATTATAGGAATACTCCTGCCTCAGCCTCTTTGGTATAGGATTAGAGGTTTGCCCCACCACACCCAGCTCTGGATTTTCTAAATCTAAGTACATGGACAAACACTAAAAGAGGAAAAAATAAAAAAAATGACTTCAAGGCCAGCCTGAACTACATAGTGAGACCCTGTCTCAAAACAACAAAAAGGTACCTGGGCGTGGTGGTGCATGCCTGTAATTCCACCACTCCAGAGGCTGAGGCAGGCAGATCAACACAGGTTTGAGGGCAGGCTGGTCTACACAGTAAGACACTATCTCAAAAAAACAAAATGAAAAAATTCCTGGAACCCAAGCCACGCCCACCAGATCAATTAATTCAGAATTTTTGCAAGGTGGGGGAAAAGGAATCAGTATTCAACACTCCCCAAATGATTTGCATATTCAGTGAGGGTTGAAAAGCACATCTCCACTGTCTCTCCGTAGCTGAGCTGATTTCAATGGTTGCCAGGCATGGTGGCGCACGCCTATAATCCCAGCACTCCAGAGGCTGAGGCAGGAGGAATGCCACAAATTCAAGGCCAGCCTGGGATACACAGCAAGACCCTGTCTCAACAACCAAAACAATTTTAGTGGATGTGAGCTCTCCAGCCTTTTCAGTCCCTGCATTCTCCTGTACAAATCTTCCTGTGTGGGCACCGTATTTCCCTGTGAGTTAATAATTGGCTTTCATCTCCTGCTATTCAGGGTGTCACTCAGAAGTGTTTGTTCAACCACCACTTATGAAAGCCTTCACTTAGCTCAATTCTGATGGGGAGGAAAAGAGCGCAAGAAGGAACAGAAGCAGCTCTGGAGTATTCAACCCTGCGCAGGCTCGTGAGTGTGCTTTTCTGAAAGGGCAGAAGACAAAGGAGAGGTGGTGGGAGGAAGGGGGCAGGAAAGGGTGAATCTGAAGAGGGAGGTGATTCCGGGTCTGCAGAAGCGAGGAGTCCAGAGAGACAGCAGGAACGTGGAAGGAGTGACGTGCCTTTAGCATAGAGGTGAGGACCAAGGAGGTGGGGCTCAGAAGGCAAGGAGGGAAGAAGGGAAGAAAGGGAGGAAGGAAGGGAGAAGGGAAGGAGTTAGAGAAAGGAAAGGAAAGGAGCCAGGCGTGGTGGCACAACTGTAATCCCAGCACTCGGGAGGCTAAGGCAGGAGGATCACGGCAAGTCTGAGGCCAGCCTGGGCTACATAGTGAATTCAAGATCAGCCTGAACTACATAGCAAGACCCTATTCAAAAACAAACAACAAACAAACAAACAAGGCAGTTTCTTGGTTGTGACTCCATGTGAGTTTTTCTGTTCTTCCATCTGAATTCTGGTGTTCCTGAAGGGACCACTAGGTTCCCAGGAGAGAGTTTCACAAACACGCCTGTAAGGTTGCACGGTCTGGAAGGGGGGTGGTGTCCCAGCTCCCCTCCCTGCTTCCTTCCTTTGGCCCCTCTTGTGGCATCTCCACTCCAGGGGCCTCTCCAAGTTGACCTCCCTCTCCCCAGACGCTGTCCCAAGTGAGCCCAATATATCTCCTTCCTTCAGGCAGTTTCCTTCTAGGGAAGCAACACTTTGATTTTTGTGACACTTTTTGTAGTCCAGGCCGGCCTTGAACTCACTGTGTAGCTCAGGGTCTGGCCTGCAATCTGTGGCGATCTTCCTGCGTCATCCTCCCCAAAGCTGGAATTACAGGCGTGCCCCACCACACCCTGCTGGCACTACCTCACTTTTTTTTTTTTTTTTTTTTTTGCCAGAAGGGGTCCAAGGTAATGACCAGGCTCCAGGATGAGTGGCAGCAGCTTCACACTCATCTCTGCCCTAATAATGGAGTGAATTCCTACTCTAAACTCTTGAGATTGGCTTTTGGAATTCCATTTCTGGGGGAGCCGTGGGGAATAGGCTGGGTAGCCAGGTCGTGCAGTCTGTGTTGTTCATACACGTACAAATGACCTGAAAATGCGCACTTCTGTTACCACCCCTCCACCGTCCACTTGGCTACTGCTGCCTCATTTTCAGTGCTTGGAAAGTGAACGAGGATGCGTCCAGTTCCCTGACTCCCCAGGCTCCCGCCCTGGCTGCTCAGCTTTAGGTCGCTGTTACTGGGGGCACGAGCCTTGGGTGCATCAGCCACTCCATCTCCCACCTTCGTAGAATCGTTCCTCCTTTATCCTGCCCTCTTGAGTTTTTTTTTTTTTTTTTTTTTGGTTTTTCTCCGGTACCGGGAACCGAACTCATGACCTTGCGCTTGCCAGGCAGGTGCTTTGCAGCTGAGCTAAATCCCCAGCCCCCCTCTTGACTTCTATGAGCCTCCAACCCCAGACACAAAACATTTTCCTCGAGGACCCTCACTGGCAGCCAAGAAGCCCTTGGAGCCAGAGGCAGTGGGCGCCTGTGCCCGAGGGACAGCTCGGCTTTGCAAAGGGCTCGAGCACACAGGCGGGGCTCTCGGTAGCATCCTCAGGTGACCTTCCAGCAAAGCCCCACATCTTCCCTTCTGTAACTCGGCAGGGATGTGATGCGCCGGAGGAGGTGAGGCTGTGGAGGTGGGTGCCTCAAATAGCATGTGCAGAGAGGTGCCTCATCTAGCTCCCCTGCTGACAGCAATCCAAAGTTTCACTTTTGTTACAGCTTTGTTGCCTTCTGCGTTAGGAAGTTACTAACTTTACATTTTGGTTGCAAAGTGATCAACATACCGTGCCAGAGAGGTTTCTGCTGGTCCAAGAAGTGTAAGCTGGATTTGATTCAATTTCCTCCAGAGCCCTTTTTAAGTGTTTGTGGATGTTTGTAACCTGTTTTTGATGGGGAGGGGTCTGTTGTAGAGAGAAGGGGACTGGGACAGCCTGACCAGGACATTTGTGGTATGAGTGTACGTGTTTTACCCCCAAAGGATTTGTACTCTGCCAATTACACAGAGGCTGCCCTCCAAAATGTATACACACTTCAGGAAAAGAAAACTAGTATGATGTTTCTCCAACAGATGGTGTTCCCTTCATATGGGGGACCCTAGAGGATGTCATATGTCACAGAAAACCCACTACACTGCTGACCCTTAGGGAAGTAATTGAAAATGCATGTGCAGCAATCTCAATGACTGAGGTTACCCACGCAGCCGTTCACTGTACCAATAAATGTCTGGAAGCAAACAGCCACCACTTCGAGCACCTCTTGTCATTGTAGAGCCCAAAGGTAACCTGTATTCATCTCATGACATCTCAATAAATTTAGCATTAAAATGTTTATACAAGTTTTTCTTTTCCTCAAGTGTGTATCTATATATTTTTGGCAGATTGTAGTTTATTTTTAAAATGTGTTTATAGCTAGGTGTGGTGGTGCACACCTGTAATCCCAGCACTTAGGAGGCCGAGGCAGGAGGATAATTGTGAGTTTGAGGCCAGCCTGGGCTACCTAGTGAGACCTTGTCTCAAAAAACAAACACACAAATAGACAAAAAGGTAGGGAAAAGCATTGGAGATGAAGCTCAGTGCAAAGGCCCTTAATTCAATCCTCAGTACCACAAAGCAAGACAAAGAACTTCTGGTAAAAAGTGTGTGTCAGAGAACACATCTTTTGTGAGTGCTCTGGCTCGGAGTGTAGCACAAAAATGAACATTATGGAAATAAGCAGCTCGGTGTGATAATGCAAGAAGCACTGGACCGAGAAGGTCCAGCGCCAAAGCTGTCAGCTGGGTGACCTGAGCACAAAATACCTCCTAGAACCCTCGTTTCCTCCTTTGCTATATGAAGATCTCCGGGATAACATGCAAGACAAGCAAAGCGAGATGCAGACTATTAAGAGTTGATTTTGTTGCCATGAACAATAATACGATTTTTTTGAAACCTGGATTATGGTAAGAACTGAAGCAAGCAGGCTTCAGCTCGCTCAAAAACTCGGAAGGTGAACAAAGAAAGACTTGCACGAGCGACTTCCTGCCTAGATGTCCGAGGCTTGAAGTGCGCGGAGCCGGCTTTGCATTTAGGAGCGCTGCAGTTGTGATCGAACCTTGAGCAGCCTAGGGCAGTAGCAGCGGCTATTTTCCACTTGGCTAAGTGAAAACTGAAGTTTCTTGCTCTGAAGGCCTAAAAGCAACACGGGCTGGAATGAGATATGGTAGAACAAGATGCAGAGTTGGTCGGACCCAGTAGCTACTGCAAATTAGACGCACAGGACGCCCGGTGAAGGAATTTAGTACTGAATGGTCCATGGCCGACAGAGGGAACAGACAAGGCACTAGAGGTGTGAAAGTATCACTTTGTTAGTGTTGTTGACAAGGCCCATCGGACAAGCAAGAAAAATGCAGAATCTCCAGGCCCTGGAAGAATTCTCAGACTCACTGCAGAGTGCCCTGGGCTTCCTATGCAATATGAATGCATACGAATAATAGCGAGACACAATAAACCCCATATAGTGGACCCCAAAAGGAGGTCAGAGCTCTCACGACAGTCTTAAGTAAGTCTTGGAGTACGACGTCAGAGGTTGGAACAGAGTGCTGGACTGCCTTCTGGGGCTAAAATACAAAATCAAATACAATCTGGCAGGATACTTAAAAATAATATGTAAATACCCTCCAGCAAGTTCAGCCCTATCTTTACTGCAACTCAAAAATAGCCTTTCTTTGTAAGCATAGCTTTGTCTTGATGTTGGCTGTTCAGTCTACATTCATGCCGATACATATTCCTTTTTGTCATTGTTCTTTTTTTCTTTATGTGCCTGGATATATTCTAACAGCACCATTTCGTCATTTTGGTAGGAAAAAGATTCACAAACTAAATATACTGATATATCTCATTTCCTTATTTTGAGACAGGGTTCTCAGTATGTTGTTCAGGCTGGCCCTGAACTCACTGTGTAGCCCAAGCTGGCCTCAAACTCAAAGTGCTCCTCCTGCCTCAGCCTCCTATACCCTGGAATTACAGGTGTGCGCCACCACACCCAGCTGATATATTTTAGTAAACATACTAAAATTAAAATTTTGCAATGAAAAGGTTAGATTCATAACAGAGAGGAGACTGGAACATGTACTGACTGGAACATATCAGTAGAAGGTGTTTTTGCATAAAGATACACTCACTGGGGAGGAAGATGGAGTTTATCTGTGTAGCAGAGGCATACTTATGTGTTAGTCAGTGAATTGCTAGGCAGTAGTGTGCTGGGAAACCTTTTACAGCCAGTTTTCTGGGGCCAAGAGGAGAGCCCTGGTTTCTAGCATTTGCTGATCTCTGAAATATATAGATGAAAATAACCCCAAGAGCACAGACAGGGGTAACTATAATTTTACTATCAGGAAATGATAAAGTTTAAGTATTTATTAGGTTTGTTTATAGTGTAAATAACTGTGTTTTTATACTTTCATTATTAATTTTGGGGGTGCAGGAGATTGAACCCACTCTGAATCACTGAACTGCACCCTCTGCCCAATTTAATTCTTTCGTTTGGTTGTTTTTTTTTGAGACAGGGTCTCATTACATTGTCTAGGCTGGCCTTGAACTTCCATCCTCATGCCTCAGCCTCAGAGAGTACTAGGACTGCAGGCATGTGCCACCATTCCCAGCTTTGCAATTTAACTTGTGTGTGGGGGGTACTGGAGATTCAAAGTAGGGCTTTCACACTGAGCTACATTCCTAGCTCCTTTTTATTTTGAGATAGTCTTACTAACTTGCTCAGACTGGGCTCAAAGTTTAAATTTTCCTGCCTCAGCCTCCCCAGGTTACAGGAATTACAAGTGTGTGCCACCTGGCCAGGCTCTAATTTAATTTTTAGTAATGTCTGCTCTTAACAATGGGCTCACAAAATACCTAAACATTTTAATAATTGTGCTTTTTGAGCCACATGAGCTGCCTCCCGCATACCACTCCCCATGCATGACAGAATATTAGAGCATCTTGAGGGAGAGTCACGAAGAGAAAGGAGTATCAGTGAAACACTTCATCCTGAAGAAAAATGGAGAAACGTGGGTGCAGATCATTCTTCATGTAAATTAATGCAGATCTGTACAACTATTATACTCAATGCTAATTAATGGATCAATGCCTTTTGTCCCAAAAGTTTGAGAAACACTTCACGTTAGACATAATCTCCTTTTTTGTTGCTTGTTTTGTGAGGCAGGGTCTCGCTATGTAGTTCAGACTGGCCTTGAACTCGCTGTAGAGCTTAGGCTGGCCTTGAACTGGAGGCAATCTTCCTGTCTCAGCCTCCTGAGTGCTAAGATCACAGGTGTGTACCACCATACTCTGCTCAAAATCCTCTTCTACAAAAACATTTTACTGCTAACTTTTAAGTTGAAGTTATGAGAATAATTCTCTAGAAAGATTTACAACTGCATAACTTCTTAGATGTTCTGTACAAGGTGCTTATAGTTTCTACATGGCCATCATCAAATAATAACTAGTAAAATCTCCATGATGAAGAAAAAGTCAGAGAATAAGATAAAACCTCATCAGGGCTTATTCAAACATTGTCCAAGTTCCTACTGTTTTATAACAAGCATTAATTTCCTACCACCTTGTCTGAAATTCTGTATTGCTTGTTTTTGTGTTACTTTGTAAATGTATGTGTGTTTGTTACTATGTTTTTGTTCTTGTAACTTTAAAGTAAAAAAAAAAATGAGTCAATGGGAAAAGACTAGGAAGATGCAGATTAACAGCGGTGCATGGGAAGTGACTCAGGTTGAGCAGGAAAAGCAGCAGCCTGGGTCAGATACAGTACGCACTCGGCTCCATGAGAGAAACGATGGTTTGCAGAGGCGGGCGTTGCAGTGGTTTACTCAGGTGCCTGGTCAGGCCTTTGTCCAGATAGTTCCTGGCATCGTGGTGCCAGGCGCTTGGAACAGCAAGACCACGCACCGATGACACGGTCAAGACAATGCAAAGATCTAAAGCCGGGCCAAGGAAAAC